GCACTACTAAGAGCAATAAATTCTACGCCACCAAAGCGGAAATTATCAATAAAAGCAGGGGCATATTGTAGCTGATGAGTCCAGCGACATAATGCACCATCTCCCGATTCAATATCGCCTCCTAAGTAACGTAAGTCTAAGCAGTGCAACTTATGGTTTGTCGCTACATATGCCAAGTCTCTAAATTCACTTTTGGCAATTGATGATATAAAATCACATTTATAATCCTGAGTGGCATAGCCACAGCTACTTTTCAACCATTGCTCTGGACAGGTTCGTGTATCTAACATGAATAATTTCTTTTCGTTGGCATACAAAAATGTCTGACCCTGCCAAGGTCTTATCATGTTCCAACTCGCCCTCATGATATCTTCTGTTTTACATACATTATGGGTGGCCGAAAGTATAGGTGTAGACGCATTAATGTCATACACCCGAATCCTTTGCTTCATTGTGGTAATTATGAAGGTACTGTAATCAATAGGCGACTGTGCAAAGCTAATGAAAGGCGTGCAACTAGTTTTAAAACGTGTTAGTGCTTTGGCTGATCCTGTGGGAAGAAATTTATATAACGTTATCATGTTTCGTTGCCGCACAGCAAATGAGTTTGGGCAATCTTTTCGTAGGCTCTGTATGGCGCGCACCTCAAAAATTTCTTCTTCTGTGTCTACCTGTTGTGAGCATATAGGATCTAAAAAACTGCCAGCAAAGCTCTTAAATTTTGGCAAAATTCCAACATCTGCGTGGAAAAAAATACATACTTAGTTAACCATTCTTAATAGCTTATAGTAGGGCATTACTCACTCAAATTATTTAATTTGTTATTATCTACATGTAACACATGTTCACCGTCGTCCAATATACAAAGATTTCCTCCAGAATAGTAGTAATCGTAGCTTCCATGAAAATACGGATCGGGATCACAATCTAAGCGTCGGGCCAAGTCGAAAAAGGATGTATGAAAGCTTCCTTCTTTTTCATTGGTTTTTAATTTTTTATCTACATATGTATGTAAAATGCAATTCCTTGATAAATAAACAATTTAAATAAGAACAATATTTCTGTGTATGGAATAGTAGCTAATGTCGAAACGCTGGCTTTAGTATAGGCGTTGAAGAACTTCTGGCAAATAAATGTGCAAGAAATAGTTCTGATACTAGCCAGACAATATTCTTATTAGATAAGTCTGATCAAAACTTTCCTTTTCGTTTAAAGAATAAAGTGAATGCCGCATTATACTAAAACCAGCTTCGCGACATAAGCCACTATTCCATACGAACACAGGTTTTATCTTTGACTTACTTTTCTGACCCGTCTGGTAGCGTGTCCGAGAAATATGCAAACGTTTTCTGTAAATCTCCCGTGCCATTGTGCGTCGATGGCATATATCCACACGCTCACAGTGCTTGTCAGCTATATATACTGCACTTGGCACTGAAACTTTGCATTTCAGATGCAGGCTTAATTCACTAAGGTCATTTAATGGCGTTTGGCCCACATTGAAAGCAGGAAAAAGACAATGCCTTTCTCGTAGCTTCAGTTCATCGGAACTATACAGTAGCAGTCTATCTAGGGCATCGACGGCAGCAGATTTGGTTGAGCGTTCTCGTTCTTGTGATAAATTACTTGTTGCAGTCTTATTGTTCTAAAAAGCAATTTTTATTAAGTACTTGTGAATCGATGTACGTATTTATTCACTATTATTTACCTGTGCTATGTTCTTCAGGCTTTCAGCCTGAACATTTTGTTTATATGGTCGGGTGGGCATTTATGTTAATTTATGTTTAATAAGCCTTTAAAATTTTCGTCCTTCGATCTAATTAAAAACAAACCTTAAACCGTTCCAAAATGCACTATCGGGATAAATGTGTATCAGCTGTTTGATAAATGTAGGATTATCGGTTTATCGTTCATGCCAAGGCGTATTTAACAAGGTGGTGTTGGCCGTATATAAGTAAAAAANAATCTAATTAAAAACAAACCTTAAACCGTTCCAAAATGCACTATGGGGATAAATGTGTATCAGCTGTTTGATAAATGTAGGATTATCGGTTTATCGTTCATGCTTTATTTATTTTAAGTGTTGGTGAGAATTAGGACGGACTGTTTCGGGCAGGAAGAAGACACTTACGATCCAATACGTCCCAATTTTCGCTCTCTATTACCNACCCCAACACCACCTTGTTCAATACACCTTGGTTCATGCTTTATTTATTTTAAGTGTTGGTGAGAATTAGGACGGACTGTTTCGGGCAGCAAGAAGACACTTACGATCCAATACGTCCCAATTTTCGCTCTCTATTACCCATTTTGTGAGTACGGGAATGATTTCTGGGCTATTTTGGGCACCCGCGGGATCCCGCGTTGCGTACGGGAAAGAACATCTATCACCAGCTGTTTTTGGATCGATAACATTTGTCCATAACTATACGAATCTAACCTAAATCGAAATCAGCTGTTATGTCGAAAAAACGCGAGTAAATTATTAAAAAATAAATAGTTGCCAAAAAAAGTTGTGTAATTAGTTAAAAATGCGTTTATTTTCAATAAAAAATCGTTTGGTAAGTTTGCGAACATGTATCAGCGATAAATTCACATTGCCCGAACGGTTTAAAGGCACCGTAGTGGAAAAGTGGGCACAATATTGGCGCGGTCTTGTTAGTGATTATACAGATGTGGTGGTCGATGTAGCCAAAGGGGCTCGAGCGAAACCACGTAAAGCTCTGGCAATTGCCAGTACAGGTTACGGCCTGTACCAATGTGCCCTGCACAATCCAGACGAAGAAGCGTTCATGCATTCCTTTCGTGGTTGGACTAACCAAATGGCAATGGTGCCAAAAACGCTGCGAAACCCTGTATCAGAATCATACCTTCGAGAACTTGAAAAAGCCATCAATGAAAACAAACTGCGTACATTTTCACTAGGGTTTTGTACAATATTATGGACGGATTTGTATGACAAGGACGACTGTACTTTTCCAGCAATATGCAAATATACACAAGTCGATTATACGAATTTCTGGGAACGTATTCTAGACATTGGTTTTTGGGATCACTATTGGCGGCTTGAGTGGAAAATGCATAACTTCGACGTAAATTACTTATAAATTCGACATACTACGTTTAACGGAATATCTAGCTTTAAGAGTTATTATTGAGTTTTATTATGACAGCGTGCAAAATGCTATTGTTAATAAATTCCCAGCAACTTATTTAACAAGACAAAAGAAATCATGAATACCTACACTACATCAATCTTATTTTTATCCCGAAAGAGTATATTTATTATACTCGTTTAGGGTCTTTATTGCCGTTAAAATGTTTTTCCAACAAAGCGTTACATTCTGGAATTTTGCTCCCATTATTAAATTTTCCTTGAAAATTTGTTTCGCGACCATTCCCTTTGCCTTGTAAGAGTTCCAGGAATAATGGACCAAATTTCTGCACATCTTCTTTGTCTCCTCTAAGTACCATGAGACCTTTACCATTATTGGTGGTATTTTCCGATACGGTGAGGAAGTAGAAAATATTCTCAGGCGCATTTCGTAAAAACGTATTTATGAAGTCAGGTTCAATACCGTCCTTTCGATGTAGACAGTAATATTTTGGGTAGGGATGGGGTGTATTCTCTATTTTCTCAGCTTCAGAAATCGCAACGTCTTTTAACAATTTCTGAAATGCCTTTGCGGATGATTTTAAATTAGTCTGTAGCTTTTGGATCAAATCCAAATGCTGTGTTGGACCACCCCTAAATATAAAAATAAATTAATTTGAGTCGATTCAGTAATTTATAATTCGGATTAAATATTACATACTTTAGCGCTAAATTCATTTGCTGCTCCCGCTGAAAGATTTCACCAAGCTTTCGTAGCACACGCTCTCCAATTACAAAGTGTACATACACTGAGCTTTTAACCTTTTTCGGCATATAATAATTTTACACATTGCAGCTGAGATAGATTGCTAACATGAGTACCACAACACATGTTACTCTCAATTCCTTCAATTCGTACTACACGAGCCAGTCCAATATGATCTTTGGGTAACCCTCGTGGTGCACGAGCATCTTGAAACTTTAAAGACAACGGATGAAAATAAATCATTGGTTCGCATGGAAAAGTAGCTTATGTCGAAAGGCTGGCTTTAGTATAATTCGCATTCCCTTTATTCTTTAAGGAAGGCAAGGAATTTTTTGATGAGACTTAATAAGAATATTGACTTGCTAAGTATCGGAACTATTTCTTGCGCTTATTGCCCATTTCAACGGCTAGACAGTGAGTCATTCGCAATTGTATGCTCCGAATGCCGATTATACTAAAGCCAGCCTTTCGACATAAGCTACTTTTCCATACGAATCACAGAAATTATAAAAATATAAAAAACCAAATAAACTTTATTGAGTATTTTACCTCCACTGCTATTTCGGGATCAACTAGAGTACGGTGACTTCCCGGCCCTCGCGTATAAGTTCGTTTGCCTTACGCTCAATAGTGTCCAAGAGACTCTCGGCTAATCAAATGTGATGTATCCAACTCTATATAAGAGCTGTCTGATCCCAACCACCAAGATACAGTATCGTATTTGAATTCGCGGTCAAATAATCGCCGTTATAAGATGTTGGCCCGAGTGTTGTTGCATATGATCCAAACGGCGACTCCAATCAAGTGACTGTTTCACAACTATACCTTCTTCAAATCCTGAGTACCCTTCTACAAAGTGCACTGCTTCTGTGCCTTTTCGAACTACAGAACGCACCGATTGACCATTCATCTCACCGTAATCACATGGTTGTCCTCCACCTTCAGGAAAAAGAATTGTATCTTCGCATATAACATTAAAGCCTTGAAGTTTTATTGCACTAGTTTCTCCAAGGCGGCGTCCATTCCAACGTTGCCGGTTCACACGACACTACTTTTGATGCAAACTAAAAACTGGGTTTGTAAAGTTTTGTTCAAGTTGTAGTATTTTTACCTGCCTGTCTCAAAAAGCTGTCTTCTTGACACTTAAAAACCATTTTTTCGCACTCCCGAGCTGGTCCTTCAGCAAATTTGGTTAATTATGCAAAAATAGTTGGCAGCAAAAGTGCTAAAAGAAAATAAAAACAAGGACAATTTCATACTAGAATGACAGACGCATGCACTATGTAGTAAACAAAGGTGGCACATTTGTCATTGTTTTTACTTATCTAGACAGTTCTCAAGTAAACGTAAATAAGGCCTCAAAAACTTTTAGTGCGTTCCAGAACGTCTACGATGCGTAGGATTTAGTCCAGAGACGTTCCCGTACGCCACGTTCACATCAGGGTTATTAAAGGCGCTGTTCCTGTAAAACCTATGTTAAATATGTTTAAAATATTTGAAATTTACTACTGAATAAGGTTTTTGTTGAAAACTAAGTAGTTTATATCATGATAAAAATATAGTAAGGTAGAACCGCTGAGAGTTACTTTTAAAATTCTTGACGTTTCCAAACATTTTAATTTTTAAATTTACTCACAAACTCACACACACACATTTTCATTTTCAGTCTCAAGCAACAACAATTTCGAACAATTTCAATTTTTTCACAATTTTTCAAAAAAAAAAATCATGGCCGACAAAATGAGAGAACGGTTCTACCTTGCTATGTTTTTATCATGGTTTATATTTAGCTGAAATCTATTATAGCACGAAAAATTGTAGTTGAAAGGGTAAGTTTATGAAAAGGCATTGATGAGTGGCAACAGTGTAGTAAGCAACACTGAGGGCTCCAGTAATCGACANGACACGAAGAAATCTAAATTTCGCAGATTTCTGCGCTACGGGCTACAACTATAGAAAAATTCTGCGGTGTTGAGTTTTCATTTATGCCTGAATTATAATGGAAGTAACGGAACGGAGTGAACCGTCACTTAATAATCTATTGTATGGGCAATTAATTCGAACGATTATAATGCACTTGAACGTAACGTAAACGAGAAGCATCTAAAATCAATAGATGCTTACGAATTCGCAGCGATTTGTTACGATTCGCCCCGTGCATTATAACCAAGATATTACATGGAGCTCTGGTAAGACAGATCGTGTCAGCTGACTCGGGTTTACGTACCGGTAGGTTTACGTTCTTGACTAATTTTAGCTTTACTAGCGAATTTAGATTTTCGCCGCGGTCCTTCTAATGTCAAATTGATGTGTTTGTTGTAATACGAATTCGCCTGGTTTATAACAAACACACTATTTTGACATCAAGAAGTACCGCGGCGAAAATCGAAATTCGCCAGTAAAGCTGAAATTAGTCAAGAACGAAAACCTACCGGTACGTAAACATGTAATATCATGTTCAGAAATAACATGTATCTATTATCCGCGAAAAGAACTTTTCTAATCATGATGCGAAATTCCCCACAGTAAGTGTTGCCGTGCATGCAAAACGAAAAGGCTTCGCACAACCCAAAAGTACTCCTCGGGGACCAAATGGTGAAAAACTGCGAAAAGGTTTATTAGGCCGTGGTTACGCCACCAATTTCGATTGGCAATCACCATGCAATTGTTGTTGTGCACAGCACGGAGTGAGAATTTTCGAAATCGAACAGCCAGCACGATTTGCTGGGTGAACCGAACTGCCAGCACGCCAATTTTTCAGGGTAGCAATACGCTATTTTGCGAAAAAGTATTAGTTTTAAATATTAGAATAGTAAAAAATATTTTTTCGCAGTGACAGCGGCAGTTTTTCGAAATCAGCTGCTTTCTAGAAAGTGTGGTGTCCAATAAAGCGATTCACAATACAGCAGTGGCAGCTAGCAGTACTGCTCAGTTTAGCCCAATTTCTAAATTCACTGCCACTGCCTTCATCGCAGCAAACTTCGCATGCTGAATTTGACCTAAATGAAACGCAGCCAA